TATATATATTGTCGTATTTCTAGTATTCAAAAATTTGTTGATAGCGCAATAAAATATATTGGAATGAATAATTGATTCTTGAAAAAGATAGATAGACGGATATACAGTTAATAAGTAACCTAAATTAAGGTTATGTGATTTTGCAGGAACGTATGTCACGAATAAATAAAACTTTTAAATTTAAACGAATACAGGAGAGGAACACTGAAGTGGTAATTTAGCAGACAGATTTCTATATAATATAATAAACGAATTTTTTGATTTAGTATATGTGTAGTATATTAAGTATAACTTGTCATTTCAATAATTAATATTTAGACAATACAAGAGAATCAGAATATTTCCATTTTATATATTGCATAAAATATTTAAAAATTACCATTGTCTACTAACAAAACAGGATTTTCTCTTCTTCTCATAGGATGTACGATCTACAGTATTCAAACCTAATTCGCATCTTGTAATATTTAATTTTATCAACTCAACATTGAGATATCGAGCAATATAAAGAAATAAAAATACTTCCAATTTAAGTATGAAACGAAATACTACAAAATTATCATTATTGGTAAAAGAAAAGGTTCTTCTAGCACGTGCGATCTCTTCGATTATTCTGGTCTAACCAACACCCCCTGATAACCAATACAATTTCACAATGAAAATGAAAATTCGCACGATACAAAACAACTAAAATATTCCCACGTCAAATATTCCACGGAAAAATTATTCAAAGCTATATTATTTGTCTATATTAAATTATATTTTATTTGTCTATATTAAATTATTATATTTTATTTGTCTATATTATATCATCTATATTAAAATATTTGTCACTCAAACCCCCACGTCCACCCCTACATTTCATAGGCCTGAACTATCCCCACCTTTCAAGGTGTTTCGCAAACCTACGATTACATTTAGCATTCAAACAGAAACTTTTAATGCCCGCGAATGTTCTGCTAACGCTTAAACCGCGACAAGCGTAAAGACATATTGTTCAGAGTAACAAGAAACCGTCGGATTTTGGTGGAATGAAAAAGGGGAATACGGCAATCCTGCGTGGCCATAACGCGAGCCAGTCGCCCGAGCAAAGATGGCAAACGAGGACGTTAGCCGAATAATGCAAAACAAACCTCATTTGAGATATAGTCTGGCATTTGTCCATATTAAGGTGCGCTGTAAGGCTGGCGGCGTTTTCGTTTCGCGCGCGTGTGCGTGTACGTACGCTTTGAAATTATATAGCGAGAGCATCAGTCGTCGTTAGTCAGCTCCTGCCGCATTCCGGTGTTAACTATGTGTATCTTGAGCACCCGTTACATAGCCATTTATCAGTGAGTTCCTTCATACGCGTTATTTTCCGCGTTAAGATGCACAGCTTCGCGCGCGATATTTCACTCCGCTCTGACATATCGTCTCTGAATTCGCCGCTTCGGAGGTTTTATGTGCGACTTTGCAAAAATTCGATCTCTTGCGTCTTTTGGATGACCAAGTTCTTGAAAACAGAGGGGAAACATAGATCGTCGAAATTTCTGAAAAGAAGCGAAGTATGCAGATATGTTGTTGCACGAAGAGGATGCTGGATTTGGATTAGACGAGGTGGATGGTAGATTCGGATGAGGGATGATTTTGTAACACATGTATATATCATAAATATCAAAAAGATGAAGTGGAACTTTTTCTCCTTTGAAGAGGTTAGAGCTTTTTTAATTTTATGATTATGTCAGTATGTAATATAGACACTACTGACTAGATACAGGTAATAATAACACCTGTATTAATATTTATTACATTTGAAAAAAAATTTTTAATATAGATAAGTTAATGATTATTTATAGAGGATACTGAATAGTATCAGTTGATGTATTAAGAAATATATATTTGCATTTAAAACATGATTTCAATTTTCGTATGCTCTATACTCGTCCATGTACAAAATGTCTAACGATATTAAAATGTCTTTCGAATTTATTTAATTTAAATTTTGAAATATCAAATGACTCATCCTGTATATTAATACTGACAATACTGATAATACAAAATATACTGTCTATATATTACACATATGCTACATATACCAACAACGTATTTATTAATTATAGCATTAATTTCTTATTATTGACTTGGACTATTGAATAAATAGTTTGAAGTAACATTTTCATCCATAAAAAAGTAAAAATTATTATTTTATCATGAGTCATATATTAATTCTACGGTGTTCTTTGAATTTTAGTTGTCCCCAAGCTCATACGACTCTCAACTGTAAAAAATCTAACAATAAGTATTAAATTTTGACATTCGATCTCTTTCCCGACCAAATACTGTGTTTCTCAAAAAGTTCCTAATCTTTAAATAAGAAAATTTATCCAATTATATTCTAATATTAAAACATTATTATAGGGTGCCATTTCGGAAAGTAATCGCGAATCGATCATCCCCAACAAAAATAAATTATAAACCCATCAATATTTTCTAGAAGCAAATGGAAAAGTTATTTTGGGTGACAAAATTAAGTTGCGTGATCCCTACGGGGAGGTGAAGCGTAGATTGAGAAAATCATAAAAGCAGTGTCCTTGATGACCAAAACTGAGTCTTTAGAAATTAATTGTGACCAGCACGAGCGTGAGTCGCTCGGTGTTGGAAAGAGAGTTAAATTAGAGTGCGTCTTTGTGTGTTTTCGTTGCGTTATCTTGGTGTTCTTTTCCCAAGTTAAATTAGTTTTATGAGTTTTGTGTATGTGTTATTCTGTTCTTGTTGTTCTGTCAGCTTTTGGTTTTCGCCATCTTACATTATCATCGCAATATTTTTCTAGATTTTCCATTTATTATAACCGAATCTGCAACCATAACCATGTACATCAACTACACGTCTATCTTTTCTTTTCACACTTGGATCCATTGTGTCTGTTCCAATACCCATTTGCTTCATACCATTAAAGGTATATACCATTAAAGGAGCAAATCTGTCATTCGATGTTCCGCTGAAAAATCATCAGAAAAATCATAATTAGGCGAACACTCGTTACGTATTCGTGCAAGTAAGGAAATTCCGACTCGTCATTGTCTCGCAGCCAGACTTTCTCATCCCAAGCGACACACGCAACTTTGTATTAAGCCTAAGTTCTAAACTAATAAGACAACAGCCACGGTAGGACGATCAGGGTGAACCGGAAGGGGTAGGGTGACGCGAGAAGGGTCCAAGTTTCGCTGTGAAGCTACGAAGCGGGTCACCGATTACGACGTTGATCGTTTATGAGAGAGAACCAAATTGGATAAGTTCAAGCAGCTTCTTCGCTGACTACTTAGACCATTACTCTCCAAGAATTTCAATTAGACATGATTTTCGAATTTACGAATCCTTCAACCGCTCTGAACAGACTACGCCGCACAGCGAGGCTCCGTGACGGGTTAAATCTCGGAGACTATGCAGCTTCCTCGTGAGACGGATCAACAAGTGACATTATGGATCTTCCTCTTTTATTTCATTCCATCTACCGTGCAAATGCTTTCGGTACAAGGACAGTGTAAATTAAGGATGTTTAATATCGTCGTGGATCCGCGACCTCTGCATCCTTTTTATATTCCTCTTTCTCCCCTTTACCCCAGATCAGACGCTGCTGGGTCTTCGAGGATCTTAGCTCATTAACCGTTTACTCCTGTCGCATTTTCTTCTTTATGTTCCCATTTTATGCTTCCCCTTTCGTATTTTCAGCGAATTCCCAGTTAAGGAATCTGACGTGAAAGCGTGGTCGTGGATTTACTGGTACCTATTCTTCAAATGCAGGGTCTACTAATGCTCCAACATAGACTCGTTCATGTTACATATAAGTACGAGTTCAAAAAGTGGAACCAACAATTAGAAAAAGGTACTCCACGATACCGATAGTGAATTTATGTTATAGTGGTAGAATTTTTTAATGAGAAATAAAACCTCGTACTGAGGTGCATTCGCAATTAGAATTAGTATTGTTAACCAGCAACCACGTCAGATCACACGACATTGATCTGTGGGGGGTCCACCCTACCTGTTGTTGACGTCGGCTAGTCACAGATATCCTCGACATAGCAGTGGTGTTAGAAGAGATGAAAGAAAAAAGAAGAGATGCGTTTCGTCCCGGGGGCTTGCTAGTGGACTCGTTAGAAAGGCTTTCTAACAGGCCCTATCTTAGATGGAGGATACTATTGTGGTATTGCGAGAAGTGAAGGACGCCAACAAAGGAACTAACATTAATCCTTTGCGGACGGGGCGGTTTTGAGTAAACCATACCGTGGGGTAGAGCCGCTGCCGCCATAGTCACTCAAAACTACCAGTGCTTATTTCTACTTAAACGCGATTTTCATTCATAGCGACGTTGGCAATAAGGACATAAAACAGTCCACCATTTAACTTGCGGTCCTAGGGCCATAACAGCGGACCCATATATGTGTTTCTCGGTCATAGCAATGCGATTACGTGAGACACATTTATGAGGGCCCTATCAATTGTTTTCGACAAACGCATATATGAGTTCCTCAGCCAAATTCATGGTTTCCGTCGAACGGGATGCAGTGCTCGCCCGCAAAGGGTTAACACTTAAAACAATTAAAAATTTGTATTAGAACATCAATCAAAAAAATATTAGAACAAATCTTGCATCTAGGAAGAAAAAAAAAAAGAAAATACTCCCGTAGCGTCCTGAGCGAAACATGTGATTTTGGTGTGGCAGTCAAAGGGTTAAGTAGATTTCTAATTCATTTCCGCTACCCGGAATTCAACGCAAAATCTAATTGAGAAAAAGAATAGAACGTATTAATTAATACCCAAATATTACCCCAATATTCGAAGAAAGTACTATTCCCAGAGACCCAGTTCTAGGGTCTATATGGGAATATCCTACAAAGAGGCTAAAAGTATGAACTTGAATAGCATTAAAACAAGTTATCCAGACTGGAGTCTCCGAAGCTATCCAATCTTCGTCAAACTCTTCAGGACTGTGCACTCGAGATGACGGTCTACGTCCCAGAAGGACAGGAAGTAACACCCGGTATACACGTGGTTTTCGGAGAGAAAGAGGTGGAGGGAGGCCCGTTAGGTGGTCGACGTCGGGTGTAAATTTGCATTGAACGAAATGAGGCGCTATGGGGCATTCCAGTCCGAAGTTAATAGCTTCCCAACGATTAACTGTATCCCTCCACCCACCGTGTCTACCAGGCCTGTGCCTCTCTTTCCCCATGGCCGTTCATTCGACGCGGCGTGCCTGTTCGTCCTGTCTCTTTCCTTCGACCCTTGCTTCCGCCGTTTCCATCGTCCCTCTTTCTCTGCGTTCATCCCTCTCACCCCCTCTCGTCGCCCTCGTCACATCGTACTTACCTATATCGTCCCTCCTAATAATATATGTTCCAAAGGTTGCGAAATAACTGACTCCGTCGAGTCGCCTTCTCGATCGATCATCCCCGATTTTTTCCATAATAAAATCGTCACTCTGTATCTTCGTTATGTCGTCACAGACCGTTCGATCGAGACGACGGGATTTTTTATGGAATCGTACGAGCTGGGAGCTCGATGTTACACGGTTCAAGAATCGCGTGCAGTTAGTAGGTGCAAAAGGCGGTGCCTACCGCGGCCGCAGCCAATAGTTTCCAGGCACGGAAAGGCGCCACGGGGGTTATAGGGCATAATTTAGTGGACAGTTTGATATACAAACAATCTTTAATGAAATTCTTGGTGTTCATTAATAACGCATTACAGCCTCGTGCGGCACTGGCGCCGGTGTCGGCATCGGTACCCGGGAATCCCATACCCCTATCCCTCCTTTTGCTCCTCATACTCCTAGTTTTCCTAGCCACCCTCTCTCTACTCCATCGCGACGTACTCCGACACCCTTTATCGTCCCTGCCTTCGACTGATCTTTACGCCCCTTTCCCTGGCTGCTTGACACGTTATGCGTACGAAGACAGCTTTATTTTTCTTCGCTTAATTCCTTCAGGGTGAATCGAAGGTGCAGTCCAGGCTGAGAATGTACCTTTCAGGGTTCAGGATTGGTGGTATAAACGAGTGATTGCGGCTATGACGTGTTTTATGGGCATTCTTAGTGTTCTTTTTAGTGGTTCTTATGGTGGAGGTTGTTAACGATAGAAGTTGATGATAGAACTCCCATTGAAGGAAAATAAACGTGTTCTCATTCATTTTTCTATTAGTACTTATCACTTTTAAGAATTTATATCTTCCTTACGTTGCTTTACGTTAAATATCTTATCCTTGAAACAGATTTTTAACAGAATTAAATGTTAAATGGTTTACTTCGAGGTATGGTACAGATTAACTGGTTGTATATAAGAACTGAAAAGATTGTTTAAATACTGGTCTTTAACAATAATTATTAAATAAATTGGACGATTGAAAAATCATTCTATATAATATTTTTCTCATCTTTTTGAATTCTCAAAGCCTATAATTAATTAGTTCTGTGAAAAATAAATATATTATGACATTTTATTTAATCTTATACCTAACAGCTATTTAACTAATCCTTAGAAAAGGTCAAGATTGGAATATTTCAATATCGTTTTCCTTAGTAAATATTAAACTGAATTCTTTATTCATTAAAGATTCAATTTTTTAACCTATTTTCGAAGGATTTAGCTTCTCATGTTACAAAATATTCGTTTATAAACTCATTTATACCTGATTATTTCTTCCTAAAAATTCGTTTTAAATATCCAAATCCTTGATAAATAAAAATCCACCATCTCCTTACAAAACCTAACTTCTTCAAACAAAAATCAACGAGGCCTAACTTCAAACTTAACATTTAATCCACTGAAAATGAAAATTAGTCATCCCTTCTCAACCACCTGCTTCCAAGAACTTAACACATTGCGTACAGCACTCTGCTCGCGCAACGCGCTTCCAGAAATACTTTATACGATAAATATATGCACTTTTTCAATTTGCATTTGGCATTATATTTATATAAGGCATTAGAATAAGAATACGCGAGACTTCGTTACCCTGGTAACGTAACAAGAAAATCTATTTTCAATTCCTTAACCACTTGCGCTGGAAAGATGTGCCACGCACGTCGTAATGCTTTTATCGCAGAATCGCTAACAACGTGGTATATACGTCGTTAGGCAATTGTCACAAAAACACTGGACCGTTCTGGCACACGCGTTTGTGAGTTTATTGGTAGTGCAAGTGGTTAACCCTTTGAGCACTATGGACGAATATATGGGTTCTCACACAACCATTCAATCTCGGCTATGAACACTGTATAGTTTTATAAAATAAGAATAAAATCAGAAATTTCAGTCAGCATGCTTCGTCGTAAAAAGTGGACGGTCCACAGTACACACTTAACGTCGCATAACTCAGCGCTCAAAGGGTTAAATCATCGATTAAGTCGAAGAAACCCGAAAACGAGATATCTCGTCGACCGGCTACAACGTTTGGCTTGCTAAAGACGAGATATCTCGTCACCCATACGCAATGTGTTAAAATCCATCTGCGTCCAAAACAAAAATCGGTCACACCTAATCTAAAAATCAACATTCAACCCCATTCACCTCCTACATCCCCAGATTCTCTCTTCAAACAAATGACAGGCTCGTAAAGCTCCTGCATGAGCATCGAACAACAATGAGAAAACGCGTGCGGGACAAGTAAGAAACGCGGGAAGCCAAACAAAATGACACGCGATTAATTTCTGGCCACCGATGGGACAGTGACGAAGGCTAATAGGCTTTCCGGTGCAACGGTGAAACAGCAGTTCGTTTTGGGGTGGACGATACCGGCGGCTACGGTTAATGAATCGACGTAATCAGGGGTGTGGGGCAGGTCGAGCGACGAATGACAATCGAGTTTTGTATTAATGTCCGACCACGCCGCACCCATGGTCCCTGCGCGGCGCATACGACACTCGCCATCAGCCTGATCGTTCGTTTAATCAAGCGAGCCGCTAACACGATTAACTTATTGCGTATTCCCGTCATTCCGTACACGTGAGACACGAATCAGCGATACACAAACGCAATACCCATTACGGTGTCGTTCCATCGTAACCGGTCCTCTTTGTCTGCTCGACTGCTTTCGCCTATTCCTCTCTGTTTACCCACCTGTCGCGTTGCGTTACGCGCCACGCTCTTTTCGACGAATCATCGGGCGGATTCCTTCGACGATTTCATCAAGTCGATTCGCCTATTTTCTAATTACACGCTCCGGGTCCTACCTTGTTTTTCATCGCCAGTGTCAATCGTGTTTGGCTTTCTTTGGGTTTTAATTGCGTCAGTTAGGTGATAGGGTAGTGCGGGTAAATTGTGGGATACACGTGAGTTATTAATGGGGACGTCGAGGTTAAAACATTGATGACAGGATTTGACTCTTTGCGCGTACTTGCGTAATTTAACTTTGTATATGTATGTAAAATTTATATAAAATTTGTAGAGGAAATATATGCCTGAAATATTTGAAATATTGGAAGCCATGAAATAATTAGAGATATCAGAAATTACATCGAGCAAATGTAAAAAAGAAATTAGAAATAAGTGAAGCTATATCACAGCAACATCTTTATTGTAGTATATCGTTATATTGATGACATCTTGAAGAATGCAAAATTGGTGGTATAAAAATTAATTTTAGCATATCAGGTGTCAATTTATAGACGAATAACATGCAAACGATTCTCACAATACATTGGAATTAAATTATTATTAATAAAACGATTATCAGTTTGTAGACACACGCAAGTACAGCCATATACCCCATGTGTCCTTAACATAAATTTTGCATACTTCGACATATCATATTATGATTAAAAGTACTTGGTTAGTCCTTACCTCCTTATATTTAAAATAAATTTCTATTTTTTATTTTATGGAGTTAATCGATTTGGCAAAATTATATAAACTCGATCAAATGATATATCACAGTAACGTATTCATCGCAAAACGCACCCCCACTGTCAACTGTCTAGAGAAAACCATCAAACTCAATCGTCAAATATATCACAGTAATGTAACGGTGCAAAGCGCACCCTCACTGTCAACTGTCCAAAGAAAACCACCAAACTCAATCGACAAATATATCACAGTAATGCATCAACCCGAAACACACCCCCACTGACGGTTGTCTAAAGAAAATGACCAAACTCAATCGACAAATATATCACAGTAACGTATCAACGCAAAACACATCCCCACTGACAGTTGTCTAAAAAAAACCACCAAACTCGATCGAGAAACATATTACAGTAACGTATCAACGCGAAACGCACCCCCACTGTCAACTGTCTAAAGAGAACTTAATCAACAAATATATGACAGTAACGTATCAACGCAAAATGCACTCCCAGAGATAACTGTCTAAAGAAGACCACCTATCCAAAGAAATACGTAACTAAACACCTACTCAGTACCCTAGACTCCAAGCTCCAAGAATTTTGGCGCCGATGTCCTCATGCACGGGATGTACATAAACGGGAATGTCCACGTCCGGCGAGTGGTCACATCGCAAAGTCAGAATATAAAAGTCAGTAGACAAGAAAACGATAAAAATCCTCCTAGCCAGGCGTTCCATTCGCCAGGAACCTCCACCAAACCCATTCCTTCTCCTCTGTAGAAAAAAGAAGAAATAAATGCACAGAAACTCATGAGCGATCAACATCCGGCGCCCATTTAACCACTCCGATATCCCAGCAACGTACAATCAACATCCAGTCCCATTCTGGAATGAGCTGGCAGAAATGGAACAGGACCAAACAGCCTTTGATGGGTCATTATACTTATACGACAGCCAGGCCCCGAGTCTTTTGTCCGTGGGCCAGCTAACTGCATTTTCAAAAGTGGAGACGTATGCACGGTTTATGCCTGGGCGAAAGTATTCCGAGCAGCCAGGAGGCGCCAATGCACGCACGCATGAGCGCGGTACGCGCATAAACGCGAACGAATGCTCGCAAACTCCGTACAATGTAAAGATCGGTAGGTGGGAAGGTTATGCCGGACGGACATCAGCTTGGATGCCGAGAGGAACGAAAGGACGCGGAGCAGAGAGAGAGGAATGATATCATCGGTCCGGCTGCGGAGGGTAGGCGATATAGAATTTTAATATAGTGGTTTACGAGCGCGATTGTCCGCCATTTTACGGCCGCTATAGGGCGGCCATTTGAATTCTTAGATCTGCATACTTTGCGGAATTGCGCGGTCCGGCTGGCACGACGATGGACCAACGCCACCG